CACCTATTTCTCTATGCTAAAAACTCTTTGGCAGGAGATCGACCACTTAAAAACTATGGTTTGGGAGAGTATGAAGGATGCAGCAATCTATCAGGGGTTGGTAGAAAAGAATAGGGTTTTTGAGTTCTTGGCTAGGATGAACCCTGAATTCAACATTGCCAGGCAACATCTCCTTTCTAGAGAAAGTGTGACTCTTTCTTAAGCTTATGCCTTTGCCTCTGGGGAGGAGAGCAGGAGGAATGTTATGTTGAGACAACTTGGGATTGATCAGTCAGCTATGGTTAGTACAATTAAATCTAAGCCAAAATGAGACAAGGGGAGTAGTGAGGCTAGGAAAGAGGACAAGAAGGACTTGGTGTGTGACTATTGCAAGACTAAGCATACCAGAGACACCTGTTGGAAGGTTTACCCTCATCTCATACCAGCTCGGATCAAGAAAAATAAGAGAAATGCAAATGTGGCAAATACAAGAGACCCTTAAGGACAAGGGGAGTAGTGAGGCTAGGAAAGAGGACAAGAAGGACTTGGTGTGTGACTATTGCAAGAAGACTAAGCATACCTGAGACACCTGTTGGAAGGTTTACCCTCATCTTGTACAAGCTCGGATCAAGAACAATAAGGGAAATGCAAATGTGGCAATTACAAGAGACCCTTCAGGACCCCTCTCCCAGGTTGATTTGGAGTCCATTGTAGTAGCAACAGTGAGAACTGAATTTGAAAAGTATGGACAGCTTATGAATAAAAAGGATTTAGCTAGTTCTAGTTCTTTAAATGGACAGAACAGCGCAGGAGCCAACAATACTTCCTTTGCTCATACAGGTAGTTCATATGCAGTTGCAAATCATGTATCCACCTCGGGTAAGGAGGGACCTCCCTGGATTATAGAATCAGGAGCATCTGAGAACATGACCAATATATCTACCCTCTTTAGTTTTTACTAGTTGTGCTCTGGTAGAGATAGTCTCTACAGTAAATGGTTCACATATTCCCATTGCTGAGAAAGGGATAGTTAGAGTGACTAATGACATTACTTTATCCTCTGTCTTACATGTCCCTAAACTCCACACTAATCTTCTTTCAATAAACTCTCTAATAAAAAATTTGAACTGTTAAGTGACCTTTCTTCCTATTAATTGTGTTTTGCAGGATCTGGAATCAAAGAGGATGATTGGGAGTAGTCTTGAGGTGAATGGAGTCTACCTTCTGGATGAGATTCCGAGACATCAAAGTCATCATGTTAGTAGCAGTAGTAGTGAATCAGAGTTAGTGAGTCAGATTATGCTCAGACAATCATTTGGGTCCTCTTTCTTTCATTTCATTGAGGTTTTTGTTTCCAAAGTTGTTTGAGTCTATTCGGTTGTCTAGTTTGGAAAGTGAAAGTTGTCAATTAGGAAAGCATTGTAGACATTCTTTTAAACCAAGTAATAAAAGAAGTTCCTTTGCTTTTGATATTGTTCATACTGATGTATGGGGTCCTTGCCACATTTCTTCCATGGGTGGTTATCATTGTTTTCTCTTGTTTGTGGGATGATCATACACGGTATTCCTGCATATATCTAATAAGATCACGTGATGAAGTACCCATTTTGGTGCGACAGTTCTATGAAATGGTTCTCACACAATATGGAGTGAAAACTAAAGTCTTCAAATCAGATAATGCTAGAGAATACTTTGATAAGGACTTGTCATCATACTTTTTGGAGCATGGTGTGATTCATCAGAGTAATTGTGCATACACACCGCAACAGAATGGGGTAACAGAGAGGAAGAATAGGCATATTGTGGGGGTGGCAAGGTGCCTTATGGTGTGTGCCTCAATTCCTATCCGTTTTGGGGGAGATGTAGTTCTCATAGCCGTGTATTTGATTAATCATGTTCCTTCATGCACTTTGAGGTTTAAGGCACCTATCAGCTTGCTTTTTCTAGATGGGGAGATATTTCATATACCTTTGAAAGTCTTTGGGTGTGTCTCCTTTGTTCACATTCTTAGTCCTCATCACAAGAAATTGGATCCTAAGGCCAAGAAATGTGTTTTCCTTGTCCTTGGGTATACTCAAAACCAAAATGGGTATTGTTGTTATGAT